CTTTCCCGCACATGCAGCCGGAGCGGTCGGAGGCTTGGCCGCCCGGTCCCCTGTCAGCTAGCTAGCCGAGCCCGTTGCCGAGCTAAGTGGATTTGAATACTGTACGAACAGTAGTAATAACGAGAAAAAGTACAATAGCAAGTGACATAAGAATAAAATTAAAAAGCAGACCTTTTCTTGCAACCTGGATGGAATAATCGGCATCATCCTCTATTTTTAAACGCACGCAAAGAGGCAGGCAGCTGCTAATCTGAAGCAAACGGCCATTCAGCCTTCCTTCTTCTCCTCCTTTTTTTCCTCGCTATGGATTCCTTCAAAGGTGGGATGAATTTGGAACGGCTTCCTGACAATTTAAGACCTCCCCAAGCTTCCCACGACATGGCTTCCAGCTTCCATTTGCAGCGATCTTCCGAAGCCAGAGAACCCTTGGAGAATTCGGCCAGCGAGTCGTCCGACACCGAAGTACCAGGTAAGATACAGGGTGCGTTGTCGCTGGTATTTATAAAACCTACTTTCCCTCCTAAGGAAGTGTCATCTTATTATTATTATTATTATTATTATTATTATTATTATTATTATTATTATTATTATTATTATTATTATTATTATTATTATTATCATTATTATCATAGATCAGGTTGAGGGGTGAACATTGTTGAAATAAATTATCATCTGAATGGAAAAGAACTACTGGGGAGATTCGAAGTTGCAACCCTCTACATTTTTACTGGAGAGTGAAACCTAATTGAAAGTAGTGGGACTTACTTCTGAGTAGACGGGTCTGTGATTATGTCGCAAAACCCTTTTTTCTTCTCCGTATCTCTACCTGACAGAGAATTCCTCTTGGTATCCCCGGAGAAGCTCTACTAAAAATAAAAACAGAGCAAAAAAAAAAAAAACCACCTCAAGACAAAACCCTGAAATCCAAGAATTTCAGCCAGCTATTTCTTTGAGAGTTTCCCTTGTGGCTGCGGTTTTATAGAGAATTTTTCTGGAATTGTGTCAGTTCGGGTGAGTTTATTTTCCAGTCTGGAGGAATAACACCAGCATGTTAAAAACGAATCTATTAAAGGCCAGGATGTGTGTGTGGAGGGCCAACGATCAAAACCTGTAGCGTAGCAACCTTTAAAACTCAGGAAGAGACGATCAGGTGAAAGAATGAAACCTCCAGACTCGAGAAGAGGGGGGGAGCTGCTCGGACGTTGTTATGTTATTCCATAAATCTGAGGCTTGCACAAAAGATGGCTTTTAATTCAAGGTGCCTTAGCAAAGGAAAAAAGCCTTTTCAAGAAGAGATCTATAAAAGGAGTGAAAGGTATAGATTTGGCGTGTGCTTAGTCGGCAGGACGGCCCCACTGCCCTCGGTACAGCAGGTAAACCTGTTGTCGAGCAGCAGCCTTTAAATTTAATGCTACCGTGGCAGCTTCTTGAAGCCTGAAAGAGATTTGAGGAGGATAATCTTCGGTTGAAAAGTTGGCCTTCGTCCCAAACGGGTTCGGAGGACCCTGGAAGTTAAAAACACACAACGGTGGCCCTTGCCCTGAAATGCTGCCCTGAATCTCTCCTTTAAAAAAAAAAAGCATTGGACCAGTCAGCCCTTTCGAATTAACCAAAACCTCTAAGACAAATTGTACCTTGGCAGTTCAGCCTTCCTTCCAAGAACGGGAAAATGTACAATTCTTGCTGCCAAGAAGGGATAAATACGGAGACAGCCTAAAACACACGGCAGTGGTTAATACTGTACGGTTGCCTGTCGCCCTATTATGAGCACCCTTGTGAGGAAGGGAGTCCCACTGCAACCAAGAGAAAACATTCTCAACGTATCAGGTCGGAGGCCAGTGCTCTGGGCCTTACTCCCAGGGTCAGTATCTGCACGGCTCTGCAGAACTTTTTTTCGAGTGTAGGAAAGGGCTTTCCACCCTCTTAATTAAAACAGAATTTAATACTGCCGCCTTATAGTCGCTTACCCAGAAGTAAGCTCCATTGAGCTGAGTCGAACTTCATTCCAAGTAGACATGTCGAGCGTTGTGCTTTGAGGAGATCTAGTAGTTCTGAAACTATCACGTTGTTGATTTACAGGCGCATCAATAATTGCGGCGGTATAGATGCATACCCACTCAATTCTCTCTCTCTCTCTCTCACACACACACACACACACACACACACACACACACACACACGAGAGAGAGAGAGAGAGAGAGAGAGAGAGAGAGAGAGAGAGAGATAATGTATCGATAACGGATACATGCTGCATAAATTCAACAGAGGGAGGAATACAAGGGAATACTGCGGTTTTTGATACAGTGGCCTAAATCCTATTGCTTGTGATAGTAAATCGCATTAGAGTAGGCTAATTGAATCAATGGGGATCTCGTCAATCACCTCCTCCGTAAGTTCCATTGATTCACATAGGCTAGCGTGCTTTACATCGAAATCAGTGGAACCTGCACAGGAGCGGACGCGCCAAATCCTCACTCTTTCAATGAACCTGCTCTAGTGCGATTTATTAAACTAAGTAATAGGATTTTGACAATATATCTGATTCGCATAAACCTCTGCCTGCCTCATAAGCAGGAGACCTCAGATTTTTTTTAAAGCCACCAATAGGTCTGGAATTCGGATTGGTTGCCTCTAGATTTTTTTCAGGAAATTCATTTGTGGATTCAGAGTGATCCTAGCTGGTTCTCCAACACCAGCAACCAGTCTGGGGCTTCAGCCGTTCCCGGGGAAAGCGAGGCGCTTGCCACGCCAGGAGAAAGCTCCCCCTCTGAAGGCAGCCGGCGGTGTGCCTGAGCGGCAGGGCCTTGGCTGAAGAACCGGGGGAGGTGAGGGAGCCGTGGGAAACCCAGGAGGGGGAGGCTGCTCCCTCTTGCCATGCTCGCACCCCTAAAAACCCTGGCTCGTAAATTCCACCACCACCCCCGCCCCCAAGCTGGGTGCTCAGGGCCCCGTGGCCTCCCGCGCCAAGGCACAAAGTACCTTTCACGTCCTGTAAGTGGGAAAATGCGCGAAGGCCAATTAAGCCTAATGTGTGTTATGATTTGAAACTCTATCAGACGCCCTGGTGGAGAAGGCAGCCCACCCACCACCCCCTTTATAATTTTTTTTAATGAAACCAGCAAGGGGGGGGGATAAATCAAAGGCAAAGATCTCCGTCCTCTTGATGGAGGAGGCCGTGGATGGAAGTTACTACTACTACTACTACTACTACTACTACTACTACTA